AACTTCATCAAATACTATACGTTAGGCGGATTTAGGGAAAAGTAATTTGTTGTCACCAAGGATGTTTTGACAGTTTTGTTTCCTTTGTTTGCCTTTTAGCTCAAGTCAAACTAGTGCTAAGGTATTGAGATTCATTTGGAATATACAAAAATTCTATGGAGCCATCAGATTGTTTTTCTTTTTTATAGAATTGAATTGTCTTCACTAACAATTTTTCATTTTTTAGTTTGTCAAAACATTCGTTCTGAAATTTAAATCCTGTCTTATTCATTCCCTCTTTGTGTTTGTTATTATACCCAAGGATTAGATTGGAATGTAAAAATGATTAATCGTGTTATAGATCACACTAAATTGGTGAGTCTACACTATGGACTTTCACTTGATTTCTCTACTAATATGTAAAGAAAGTGCTTGTTTGAGATAATGAGAGACTTGCAGATGAACTTTTGAGTGTATACGATCAAGTTCTTACAAAATTAATGCCATCAGAGAAGGCCCTCATTTATTTTATTTTTTACTCTTAAATCAATATAAATTCAAGTATGAGCGTATGTAATCCAACAATAAAAATGTGTTGAGAACAATGTGTAGAACTTAGAATGGAAGAGCGATAAAGAAATCAAAGTAAAATCTGGAGAAAACATTTTTTCATTAAAGCAAAAACTCTGCAACTCGAGCTAACACTGTTCTACTTCCTTCAAGGAAGACGAGTCCCTCACACCATATACATGATCCATAATGACTAATTAGAAAGAGACACGTGCACAGCACCAACTAAAATAAAACGCAAAAGAATAAAGAAAAGCGGAAAAGCGTTTTTGCTAGACAAACACGCTGATAAGAAAACAGAACAATAATAGAAAAATAAAATGATAAAATGCACATGTCAACACAATGCTCTCACCAATAGAATTGACTTTTGCCCGATTCTCACAATATTTGGTGTTCGATCGATGGTTGTTTCGAAAGGATCTTTGGACTAAAGTTGCACATAGATTAAAAAAACATTTTGAAGAAATAAATTATATGAATTTCCATCATATTAAAAAAAATTCATCCCCATTTTTCAAAATCTAAAAAAAAATGTTGATTTCGGGCCGGACCGGTCGGGCCCAAAATCTAATCGGTGGGCCGAAATCTCCAACGGTAAAATTTATAAAATCCACAGTTAGAGATCCAACTGTTGAGAGCCATCTAAACCTTTGAATTGACCGATTCTCCAATTCCAGCACTGATTGTCGAATATATATGTTCCTGCATTGCATGTTCGTATATATATCGCAAGCAAAATTTAATCGTCTTAATAGAAACACTTAAAGAATATTCATTTTGTAAAAAAAGGCTAAATGTTTATATTTTTTATCATTAACATTAATTATTAAGCAATGTAATAATTTGTAATATTTGGATAATGCTTGGATATACAAGATATCCAAAATAAAATTCTAACATTTTTAACTAATCAGTTTCTTTAACTCAAATAAAACTCAACTTTAATTCAATCTCACTATTCTTTATATTATCAGTATAATTAAATAATATCAATTAATCATTTTTACACATTATATAAATTTCAATTCACTATTCATTCACTCACATAATTTTAACTAAACATCACTTCACATTATCTTTTTCCTACTTTTACATCAAATCAACTTTAATTATTTTATTTTATATATTATTTCAATATGAATCCAAAATTTCACTAACAAATAACTGTATTAAATATGTAGTTTGTGAATATCAAAAAGACGTCTTAAGGAGAATGAAGAAAACAAAACAAAAATCAAAGTCGAGGCACGTAATAATTATGTTCTCCTTAACACGAAATTGCCCCGTAAAATACCCACGGTTAACGGCAAACGCCTCCAAGATACAACGACTTCGACTTGTATATAGTGGTACTTCAAATATACAAGCCTTCGGCGAACACTACTATTGTTTGGAACTCTCAAGGCTCAATGAAAAAAATCAAAGAACATAATATGCTATATGATCTTTGAAAAGTAATGCAAGAGCTCTCTAATTTTCATAATATTAATGATTTCAAGTATGTGGATATTTATAGATGTCGGGAAACACCTCCAAGAGGTTTAAGTGTCAAAAAACACCTTTTGGGACGTGCCCGAACGAGAACGGATGCATCTAGTGGCCAAAAGATACCTTATGGTCACCAAGGGTTGCGACCCTTTGATTTCCGCAGCCAGTTGCGCGCCCGTGCGCCGCTGGCTCGTACGACCTCATACGGACTCGGAATCAACTTCCGTTTTTTCCTACTCGTCCCCAACGAGTCATTCTACAATTCTAGCATACATAATGCATGATTATGGCTTGTTTAATTTGTCCAAACATTTATCAAAACATAATGTTTTACGAATCCAATAATTTGAGTTACTTAAACTCATTGTTTCAACTTTACATTTCCCACATATACAACTTAGAATTAATTTCTCATTCACCTTAAAATGGTTTTGAGAATTTTCTATGTCTTCCACTTACAAAAAATGGAACCGTAAATTGGTACAAAACCAATTTTTCTTACACTAACCATACCACATTATCCAATATTAATCAAACCAAATAAAAAAATACAAACAGAACTAAAAGTATTTATATCCAAGCGTAACAAAATAAATAACACACTCTATCTCTAAAACATGTCCACATTCATTACAAATAGTATAATAGATTTTATTTTAAATTCTGTTGTGTAGGTTTGCTACTTAATTAATTGGTAATGATACACTAAAATTACAAAATTACTTTTTTCCATTGCATTTTATGTAATTAACATAATGATTCATATTATATTAAATAGTTTCATACTCTTCATTTTTACTAATGATATAAATTTTTAAAATTTGATACTATTATCTAATTTATAATTTTAATCATATGTATATATATAACTTTAAATATTTTATTTATATGTGACTACTAGTAAAAACATAAAACATAAAATGGTGCATGAAATTTAATGTATCCATGAACTCTGGGAATTTGCAACTATTAATAATCAAATAAGCTCAATCAACTCAATGATAATGCAATCATTATTCATATCTAATCTAAAAAGATTAAAAGTACCTTTTGCAAATTGTGAAGTCCACTCCCTTTACTGGATTTAATGGCCCATGTTTATAAAATAGAGCATTTTCAAGAGAGGGCTTTTTGTTTTTATTTTTATTTTTTTGTGAGGTTTTTCGTCTAAAACCTCTCATAGTAAATATCCCTATTTTTTTTTTCGCAACGACAAAATATATTAATAAAACACGTATTTATAAGTGACTAACTAGCCGAATGAATTAGTTAAAAGCTGAATTTAGAGATGCATACAAGTCGAACGACTGTACCTAGAAATTACGACACTAAATACCTCACAAATTAAAAACTAACAAAACTAGAATACCAAAATCTACTGAAAATACTAACTCCCAAAGGGAGAACAGAACACAAACACAACACAAACAAACAAAAACACACTTAAACGCACAAACTACTAGAATAAGTCCTCCTCACCCGCTAGAAACCACTCCGACCGGCCACTTCTCGAACCAACCCCAAATCAATCAAACCAAATTAATTTGATTTGTTAGCATAATTGATTTGATATTATTTAATTATATTGATAATATTAAAGAGAATTGAATTAAATTAAAAGATATAAAACAATTAACTCAATCGGTCAAAACCGATTACAATCGGTTTTGTCTCATATCTAAATGCACCCTTATTTTTTTATGACGCATGATTATAACTTCAATCAAAATATAGATAATATCTACTTACACAAACCTTTAAAAAATATGAGGACATGATATAGCCAAATGTTACTATGTTTTGGATAAACCTAATTGGGTGTTCAAACATTCAAAGAAAAAAGGTAAACCTTCCACTAAAATTGTCCCTCTGTATCAAATTTGAGAAGACGATAAAGGCAAAATATTAGATTGATTAAGATAGCGTTAATTAAACACCACACTGTATTATTGATGGCTTAATTATTATTCTAAATTGTTGTATTTGATTATGTGATGTTAACGCATAAAATAATAAAACTATCTAAAGTGAGTTTTGGTCCCACCAATTTAGAAGCCAAATTAACTGAAATTTGCTAATGGCAGCTTGACTAATTTGAGAAGCAAACCCAGCTCACTTAGTTAAGGATAAAGCTAAAAATGAAAGATTTTAATATAATATTTTATAATTCAACCTATTTACCAAATTATTTTACTGCTTACAAGCGATAATAATGATTGAGCTCAAGTTCTTCTCGACTCATTTACAATTATATATATAACTTGGTCTATATATAACTTGATGATCGTTTGTATGGTCAAATTATTGGAACAAAACATTTACTAGCGTACACATTGAATATCAAGAACCTTTAGGTTTATCTTAATTTTGCAATTGCGAGCAATATTAGTATTAGTTAAATTCAATTTAAATATGTTTACATTCATGGCAACTATTTGTCGCTACTAAACATCAAAATCGGAATCCAAAAAAAGTGGATACTATCTAGAAAAGCTTTTTGCATATTAGCAGGATGTGAGATAGACCTTAGCATCAGATGTGCGTAACTCTTCAATTATACTTTCATGGTCAGATGCTAATATATATATTGGTTCTTTTTAACATGTTAACTATAATTTTTTGAATTTTTTTGAAATAATACAACATTTTTTTTTTTCAAAAAAAATCATACATAAACGAGCTATAAACCAAAATATGTTGTNCTGAATATGAAGCTGGTTAATGCTCAAGGCCCACTAACGTCCGAGAACCCATTAAACTGTTAAACTAGGTAGGGGCGGCCCAACAATCCCAAAAAGAAGTAAATGGACTACTAGTAAAGTCTCTGGTGCTTAACCAAATCCGTGATTTTGCAGTGTGTTCAATTATTCATGTGTGAAGACTTTTAACCAGGTATGTATCGTGAACTCAATTTTTCAGTGAATCTTGTACCATCTGACAGACTTAGCTGAAGAACACGATGAATTAGAGTGTCGAAATTAGTGAAGAGTGTTTAATTTTACTGTACTCTAAGGTTCTTGACGATGTGCGCCGCAATTTACTTTTGTTGTATGAATATTTCGAAACTTTGATGTATTTATCTTTTTGGTAATATGTTCGTTTACTTTGTGGTGGTTTATGGGTTCTGATTTTTTTTTACTGTAGAACATTTCGTGTTAATAAATTTTCAATGCTTACCTTTTATATGCACTGGAAACTGTATTTGCTGGAAAGACTATTATTTTGCACAATATTTGGCAATTATACATTCATTTCAAGAAAATGAGCGTTCTTGTTATTTGAAACTTTCTCTTTTCTAGTTAAGTTGGGGGAGGATCTGTGAAATAGAAGGATTATGGATGTGAAGTCATTGGCAAAATCGAAAAGGGCTCATTCTCAAAATCACAGCAAAAAGCATCAACTACAACAATCATCAAAAAAACCTTCAGTTGGTTCAGACAGCATGAAGCAGACAGGAAGGCAAGCTAAAGGGAAAACCCCACAGCCTCATGTCCCAAAACCACTCCCTTCAAATTGGGATAGATATGGTGAAAATCTCGATTTGGGTACTGAAGAAGCCCTGACTAGCTCCAGTCAACCGACCGAGTTTGTATTGCCAAAAAGTAAAGGTGCAGATTATGCTCACTTAATTTCGGAGGCAAAAGATCAATCTAGATCAAGTCGGTCTATGGATGTTTCTCATTTGTTTGGTGATGTTATTACTGGTATGTATGCTGCCTTTAATTTAACATGGCGTTTTCAGTTTCTAAAGTTATTCGTTGCCTTTGATTTAATATGGCGTATTCAGTTTATCCATTGCCTTTGATTTAACATGGTGTTTTCAGTTTCTAAAGCTTTCAGTAAGATGAAATCTAGACTTCTGTTTATGAATATTGGCATTTTAGTGTTTTCCATTAAGTGTCACCTAAAAGTTGCGTATGGAGATACCGTCTTATGAATAAAACAGTTAAATGATGTTTATGCTCATGTAAAAGATGCTTTTGTACTAGTGAACCAATTTTCATATTGTTGGAATGAGGTCTCTTCCCCAAAAGCTTATTAGCATTTGATGATGGCTCGGGTTCTTTCTTCTGCTTTCGTTACTTTATACTTCTTTTAATTTTATTAAGTTTTAGTGTTTCAGGAAATGCCACTTTGATATTGTGGGTGCTTGGTTGAGTGTTTTGTGATAGCTGATAACTTTCTGGCTTCCAATAAGCACTTTGGTGTTACTTATTAAAAATGTACACCTAGATGATTCTTTTTCTTTCAGCTGGCTGCGTAGAATTATATACAACATGACATGGCATTTATTTGTATATGTGTGTCTTAGACTTTACTCAGGATTTTAGTCCAATGCTTCTTTCGGCCAAGGGGCAAAGCTTGCTTTCATGGGCTGACGATGATGATTTCGAGTTGGAAGGGAAAACAAGCACCAGTTTTGAGGTGATTTTTTTTTTCCTTTTAGGCTAATTGATGGTCCACGAGGTCTTATAATACCCCACCCAGCTATGAATGCTCCCATAGTTCTTTATAAGCATTAACTATCAAAAAAACTTGTAATCCTGATCTTCTGTATAAAAGTTAAGCACATTATTTGATAGAAGGCTACAATCTTTTATCGTGTCATGGCCGGAGCTAAGACTTAATGCTTGATGACCTTTAGAATAAACTCAAACCAGCTGGAACGCAGGCCGCAGAATGAGTACTAAGCACTAAAACCAAAAATACAATATTTGACAATTCAACTTGTTTCTTGGCTCTATCCATATAATGTCAATTTTACCTTTATCTGATTTTTATGCCTATATTTTTCATTTTATTTCTAGCTTGCTAGTTCTCGTAATACCTTATCATGTATAAATACCCAATGCCAAACTAGTCCTTCAACATTTGATGATTTACATGTCAACTCTTGGATCAATACAACACCTTTGTGCATATGGCTTTTCATGTTTTCCATTGGTATATATGTGCTCTCAATCTTTTCATGCCATATAAGTATTATCTTTGTTTATAATATGTTTTGTTGCTTGGCATGGTATTCATCACCTGCAATCACGTTTTTGTGAGTGTCTGCCTCTTTTTTTATTTTTTATTTTTTCATCTATTTTTTATTGCTCCTTTTCCTTTTCAACTAATTACATTTCTTATTGTGCAGACACCTTTTTTTTCGCTTGATCTGAAAGCACTTTCTGAACAACTTGCGAAGGCAAAGCTGTCAGAGAGGTGTTTTCTAGAGCCAGATCTATTTCCTTCGGAGCTGGTATAATAATTTAACCTTTAATTCTGCTAGTTATTTATCTCTGATCTATTTTTAATGTGAGAGGGCAATCATACAAATGGCTTTTCTGTTTTTTCAACAAATCATAAAGAATATCAATGGCTTTCGATTCTCCTTAAGAATATCAATGGCTTTTGCCTTTCCCTGGCCTTATCTATTCTAGTGTTGATTTATGATGCCCGATTTCAAAATATTGTGGCAGTTGGACGAGTTACAAGCACACAATGAAGACAAATATGATCCTAAAACTCGTACATCTTTAACTGAAACAAAATCCAGATTCTCATCTTCTCTCCATAACCAAGAATTTAGTCAAAACCATGGACCTTTATCCTCCACCATTACATTGGCCAGAGATCATCATCCTGTTCAAACCCCCGCACGAGCATTGGAACCTTTGAAGCAAGAAAACATTGGAATCTTGCAGTCACAAGATACACCGACGAGCATTTTACGAGAATCTGTTACAGAGGAGATATTTGCTTCCACTGCTAAAAGCCCATCGATATTTGAGGCGGCAAGTGCAGAAGCAGAACTATACTTGCTTTTAAGCTCTTTTGGGGAAACTAAGATTGTTGAATCAAAAGGTGGAAATGTGAATAACCATGAGCATGCAGTGAAATCGGCTAATATTGATAATGATATTGATAAACTGCTTGAGGAAACATCTAATTTGAAGATTTTAGATGGTGGACGGGGGTCAAATGAGGTAAGTGCAATCGCTGATGCTAGATCTTCCGCCTTGAATGCTGACTCTAAGTCTAAACTTTTGGACGATTTTGATTCGTGGTTGGATACAATTTGATTTTTCTGTGTTTAGATGATTTTGACTCATGGTTAGATACAAGTTGATCTTGCTGTTGCTAGCTTGTTGTGATGATATGATATAGGTTATCGGTTAATTTGTTAACCTCTGACATTGTAAGTGTTGATTTCTGTACTCTGTTCCACTTCAATGTGTGGTAAAGTTTAGAAAGTGCTGATGGCAANAAAAAAAAAAAAAAAAAAAGTGCTTTTTGTGAAACTTTAGAGTATGTCTTGGGAGCATTTCTAATGCATTGTTCTATCAAGGAGAATGACTAATAATGCCATAGAGAAAATCTTGTGATGTGTGAAAATAGATTAGTCACTTGGGTCTATTGCTATAAAATTATTATTTTATAAAATTTGTTATAGTAACATTTTACTATAAACTCTTAACATATTAAATATTCCAGACTCGTTGAATCACGCACTGGCAGATGACTAAATAACAAAAAAAAAATCAATATCAAGACATTCCAAGATTTAAGCACAGAAACATCCGCAAATCACCATCATAAATGAAAAGAACCAGTGCCAAATAGTCAAAAGGATAGAGAATTTTTCAGATGCCCACAATGTTGGTTTATCAAAAGCATACTGAATCCACTACTCACTCATCACAAGCATTGCTGCTCAAGTTTTATGTCTGAGACTCCCTTAACTCACCCCCAAAAGATCTGGTTCATCTTGAGCATTCAGTTTTTTCCACCTTTCAAGGAGAGATCCTGAAGGTTCAACAAAAGCTCATCCGAGTTCAAGTACACCTTGTTGTTTGAAGCAGAAAGTGTGTGTGCAATTTCTCTGGATGCTTCGATTCTCCTGAGCGTGATAAAAGCCGGGTTGTTGGCAATAGCTTGACCGATCAGCTGGGCACTCTTGGCCTCTCCCTGATCACCAAATCAGGAAAAAAAAATGAACTTTCGGAGAAAAAGGAAATATTAAGCTTCGAATTTTTCTGGAGGATTGAGCCCCACACATATTTGATTAACAAGATAACTGAACTTTAAGTAGATGCCTTCTAAGTTTTACCTGAGCTCTAATAATTGCACTGCGCTTGTCTTGCTCGGCCTTTTCGACCACAAATTTGGCTCTCTCCGCTTCTTGTGCAGCTACCTGCTTAGCTTCTATGGCGGCAGTGAATTCCCTTCCAAAGGTCAGGCTCGTAATCGACACATCATCCAGTGCAATGTTGAAGAAGGCAGCTCTCTCAGTCAATATTTTCCTGATTTCCCTACTGACATTCTGCATTATGCAAAGTGCCGTCAACATATCATCGACATTATCGAGTAATTACATCTGATTGATTTACTGTTAACTGTAGGCTAATCATTTTAAGAAGCACCATTAATATAACTTCCCCAGGTAACTATATAATTTACCTGATGAGCAGAAAAAATGTTCAGGAAAGATAACACATGCTGAGTAATCAATCAAGCATACAACGACTCTGTTCTAGCAGTTATTGCTGGGAAAAGGAATCAAGAGATCTTACTCCTTACCTCTCTCTGGGTAATGAGCTGGCTTGCATTGTATTGAGCAACAACAGCTTTCAGAGTCTCGTGGATAATTGAAGGCAGGACTCTTTCATTGTAGTTTTCACCAAGAGTTCGATAAATGGTGGGCAACTGGTCGGGCACAGGACGTGTGAGAACACGAAGACCAATCTTGACCTGTAAAGATAGAATAATGTAAGTGTAGATAATGAGGCTCACGGTACAGGAGTAAACAGGATTAGTATATACTGCTACCTGAGAAACAAAATACTCTTGAGCGCATAACAATATTTTAGTACTTAGAAAATATCATCTTGAAGTAGCAGAACAGCAAAACCAAGCTCCATTAACAGACAAATCAAGCTAAATTAGTGTATGGATTGCATCTTCTATTCATCCCATTAAACAGTAGCCATTGCAATAAGATAAGGTTCAATAACTTCCTCAATAGAGAGGAAACATAGAGAAAAGGAGAAAGTGATATATTCATTTGGCATGTTCATGTTTTCTGAAACTTGTAAGAAACGTATTTATTTCCTAAATGAATAGCTTAAGCAGAACGCTGGAATAAGCAAAATCAGGTAGGTGGATGGACCGTAACACAATCTAGGAAAAAGTACTTGAGGTTTGCAACTGAATTACTTCCATGTACGTTATTTCATTGGCAACAGGGCCTTTTAACACTTTACATGAGGATAATAAGTTGAGCTACCCTATTAAATAAGTGGTAATAAAACTATATACAAAGATACTCTCACAACATACAGAGAGAATCACCCCAACCACCAAAGGCAATGTGAATGCATGGAGGATCGAGTAAGAGAGAAAGAGAGAGATATTACCATCTGAAGATCACGACTGCCTGATGTGCTCTCAACTAGATGTGGTCGAGCCCGGACATCATAAATGACAGGCCTTTCAAACCATGGGATCATTATGTGAGTCCCTTCAGGATAGACCTGTATGTTCGCAGCATATATGGAATAAATTATTAAATCTTCATAAATACAGAGATGGGTGCCAACTAAACAAACCATCAAATAACCACAAGTATTTAAGATGGAAAATTGATGTCAAGACTTCCCCTGCAAAGAGCTGCAAAATGTTAGGGTGCAGTAAGTTTATTAACCAGCCTAACTAGCTCATACGGATCACCCATATGTGCGTGTGTATAAAATATGCACGCGTGTGTGGTGTGGATAAATCTGCAGGACTATCAATAACTTTTAACCAGCAACACAAGTACCATAGACAGAACTACAGAACTCAATCATAGCATTTCTTATACATAAATATTGCTGATTCATGACTAAAATATGTAATTAGAAACAGACTCAGTTTTTATGGCGCGTGCTCTTTCGTGCAGACACTGAAGTCAAAATGCCATTAGTGAGGGACAAATTTCCAAAGTATTGAAGCTGATTCAGAAACATAACAGCCTTGTAAGAAAATATACTGAATGTATGATGGAGATTTCGACAAGACACAACCTTATCTTTGATACCAACAATACGGTTGAAAACAATAGCACGGTGTCCTCCCTCAACATTGTAGAGACTGTTAGAAACTCCATATACACCAAGCCCTGCAACAACTCCCAGTTTGATTAAGGCAGAGACTGCACCCCCGCCAGGCATCTTGGGAACATTGACATTCTTAAAATTCATCTTCTAAATCACTGCAAACTAACACATGGTTGGTGAATATCATCATGTCAGTGTTCCATAAAATGAACAGAATTTCATCTTTAGATGCATTCCCATCTAGTATTAATAACTTTGATAACAGTTACAAGAGTAAATGAAAAGACATAACCAATCAAACAGCAACAAGAAGAAACCTATAACTGGAGTATCATATGCAGAAACCTGACTTCAATGAGGAATAGCATATGACAATTTGAGGGAAGTGGGTTCTAAATTAGACTAGACCTGTGCAACTGAAAGGATCAATTTGTAAATATTTGAAGACCAGGGGTAAATAAAGGGGCTTCAAAAGGGTGGTTTCATTGTATGAAAAGCTTCATTCTCAAGCTTAAATCTTCCACTTTCATATTTATAGAAGAAGCGACTATAAAACCCTGACTGCAGATTAAGGTGAACTTGAATCAGAAATTTCAGGGGAGGAAATGGTAATACTGATGTGTATTTCATCAGCTAAAGTTCAGATACCAACGCAAGCTAACACTCAACGCCCTGAAATCCACCTCGATGCAAATAAATAGACACAAAAAAGTAGGAAATTAACGAAAGCTCATCCTCAACTATTCATAACAATGAGAAAAGCAAACAAAATATAACATTTAACCCAACATAAATGGTTGCCAGCCCTTTTGGCTGAAAGAACAAATATAACGGCTGAAAAAGTTAACTACTAGCGACCACAATGCGCCTCAGAACATTCAAAATTGCAGTCACCTCAAGTACATCTTTCTTAACCGGAGAATGTTGAAATGCAAAGGAAAGTGCAACTAAATTTTGTGAGCTTCAAGCAACTAAGGAAAGGGAGAAATCACGTCAAAGAATAAAAAAATATATGAAATGGGCAGTAGAAATTCAGAAAAGAGCGAATGAAAAGTGGATCTACATACCTTGATTGAGACGGACGAAGTTGAAAATAGTGTAGAGTATACGAGATGAGAAGAGGGCAGAAGGGTTTTAGATGGAGAACTTGTAGAAGGGGTTAGTATTAGGGCTTTTCTTTCGCTCTTTTTTTTTTCTTTTTTTTTCCTTTTTTCAATCTTTTATTTTATACATATTAATTGTGCATTTACAATTGTTAATTCATAAATCACGAATAAAAATTTTAAAAATAAAATTCATGTTTTTGTTTAAATAGTTTAAAACACAGAATCATACTATAACTGGATTGTACCTTCTCCTATAAAATGTATTATATGGTCATTCAAAAATACATTCATTATATAATGATAGTTATTTCTAATATTTCTTATCAACGTTGTTATCACTAAGTTTAACATATAAATTCATTTTAACTGATGGATATTGAATTAATTAGTAGGATCCATTGAGAGTTCAAAATTAAAACAAAATAGATATAACTATTTTACTTTACAAATACAATATAAATATTAAAGAAAACCATAAAAAGGTTTTATTTAATATGCAATATTGATATCCAACATAAAATTATCAAAAAAATAATAATTAATTTATATACCATATATGAAAATATTTTAGAAAATTAACAAGTTATTAACTTTTTAAATTATATTTATAATTTAAGTTGATCAAGGAATTTATAATTTTAAAAGTCACAATCTTTATGGATGAAAGGCAATATCTATATGCTCAATTATGAAACACAAAAAATTGACACGTGATTTTATGGACACCAAAAATAATATGTAAGATTAAAAAATACGAAAATACTTGAAAAATTTACATTGCACTCAAAAAACTTTGTATTTGCATATATGGTTTGAATTTAATATAAATTTTGATACCAAATGCAAATGACGACGACGATGACGACGACGATAATAATAATAATAATAATAATAATAATAATAATAATAATAATAATAATAATAATAATAATAACCAATAATGTTACGGCTGAAAGGAGAGGAAGTAAGTCGGGGGACACTTCGATGGCTTGATCGCTCGATATCCTAGAATGACTGAGAGGATTTGTCAGCTTTTGCTTTTGATGGTTTCATTTCGACTTTCTTGACGCCGGATTGGACAGAGATATTACTCCACTCCTAATACTTTATCTCGGCCTACTAAAACTCTAAGAGCACCCACAATGCATTGGGTCTCTTAATAAAATATCATATGTCACATAGGAAATAGACTTAGTCTATTACAAAATGTCTCTCAATGCAATTAAAAGTGGACATGGTCTAGCTTATGTGGCAATAAAAAAAAGAGACCAAGTTCACACTTGGGTATATTTTGAACTCAAGTACAAACCCAAACACTCATCATTTATTGTAATTTAAATTTTCTTTTAATAAAGGAAACATATTAGAATATTTTTATTGGTTGACATGTATGCTAGACCTAGTATTTTATTTTCGCAATGAATAGCTTTTGAGTTTTTTTACTTGGGTTTGTCCATGTCATTTAGGGCTTAAGTCTATTTATATGTCATATGCAAAATTAGACCCAATACATTGTGTATGCTCTAAATATAAAATCTTCCTTTTTTTTTTCTTAATCAAACATTGCATAACTAATTTCATAATTATAAAAAATTACAAAAAATAAATATAGATAGAATTGTGCACAGATAAGGTTGTGGGTTTTTGCACAAAACTCAAATATCCAAAACACCACATGCCGCGGATTTAATTTAACATGCCTTCCTCCACATATGCAAAACACCGCATGTTGCTCAACTTTTAGTATTGTCGCAAGTCATATTAAAGAAATTGCCACTTGTGTCATATTAAATAAAATCAACAATACAATTTTTAAATAAATATTTTAAAATCGGAAACATTTTTTTTTTATATATATAATAGAGAGAGATATGAGAATGGGACTAATATGGAATAACCATACCAGGTCGATTAAACTGGAAGAGCAACTAGACCAAACCGAGTCAGTTATCAGGTCGAACGGGGAATGAAAACTCCACAGGTCGAGGAAGATAGCCATGACACGAAGGGTACCAGCAGGTTGAAGGAGGGCCTTCAGAGGGCCTGGTGAAAATTCGACCTGAAAGAGAACATGGTCGAAGGATCGATCAGATGAGCAGGATAACAGGGCCCAACATTGATGACACTCCACCTCGAGGTAGTTGGGGTCTGACGCACGGTCAGACCATCTAATGAAGAAGGCTAAAGGATAAGAAAGAATATTATGGGGATTAAACCCCCACGTGGATATGACCACGTGGCGTAGCAGATTTGGGCAGTTGGAGAAGTCTGGGCAGCTAGGGTAGTACGAACGGGTAGCCTAGGCGGCCCATGCGTCAAAAGGAGATTGAGCAACTAAGATATCATCTCCTATATAAGGGTGAGGTATGCCTTGAATTATATTACATTCTCTATTACACACTTTACATAATCATATATCTATTGCACATTTTACATTATCTATTATACACTTTACATAATCATATAGTCACTTCATCTTCTACAAGTGTTAACTTAAGATTCAGAGGCTTTTCATAGGAAAACCTGTCCGGTGTGAGAGTTCTACAAGTCCAAAGGCGTTCAACAGGTGATCGAGCTCGAGGTCTAGCCATTTCTAGTTGTTTCCAGCCGGTCGGACGTCTTTTGCGTACTAGGGTCATAGTGAAAGAAATAATAATGGATCATAGCGGTTGGATGTGATATATTAACCATGGTTTAGAAAAATGGACCGGGTTGAATCAAAAATCGGTTAGTTGACCAGTCCGATCCGCTGGAATGAAACGGTTGCCAGCGAACCGATAAAAAATCGGTCAACGACGACCTATTGATCCATTTAAAATCGGTCAGAAGCGGCCAAATATTTTGCCTTCCAGACCGGTTTGAACAGCTCCAGTGTTTTAAAAATATAATAAATTGTAATATATATATATATATAATTTAATATAAATAAAAAATACATATTAAATATAATGGATATATAAGTTATTATTAGTTAGTTTAGGTATTTGAATTTTAAAATTTAATTATTATTTAATTAACAAGTTTTATATATAAAAATTATTCTATAAAATATTATATATGTCTAAAAGTATTAATAAATTAAATAACGGTTCAACCACTGGTCAGACCAGTGAACCATTGAACCAGTAGCTTGACCGGTTCGATGATCGGTCTGGTTTTTAGAACCTTGATTAAACGCTCCAAAGGTGGTTGAAAGCTCCAACACTAGTCAAAGGGGCGGTGATAATTATGTAACTATGTACATTTTTTATTTATAATGTGGGGGTAATGCACTGTTAAGTTAATGTGCATTTTCACTAGCATTAATGTACATTTTGTCTAACACTATTATACAGTATGTAGCGCGTTGATGTAGTGGTATATTTGTGATCTTTTAATGTGCATATAGCAAACAATATTGTGCATTTTAATTATCATTGTTGTGTATTTATTATATTTTTTATAAATTACATATTTGACACATGAACTAAATTACAATATAATTAAGCTTCTTGAAATTGTTAATAAGTCCACGCGTCTTATCTATTTTTCTAAAAAAAATATCACCCAACCCAAAAAAATCTATCGACGAGTTCAGTTTCCTCGTCCAGAACCTCTTCAGCGGCCTTCAGGTAATTGGAGCTCAGGAGCGCGCCATTCGTGATCTCGAATTCCTACAGCAGGGCAGCCACCAGAACTCCTATGTCGCCTTCTCCTCCAGCAGGCGAGTGCGCAGGGTGCTGTCGGAGGCGAAGAAGATGTAGTGGGCGGTGGAAATTCGAGGAGGATAAATTCGATCTAATGGCTATTATGTATTCTACCTAATGTGTGAGATAAAACATAAAAGACGCCCTAAATGAGAGTAAACTTGTGGTTTTCTTCGACTGTTGGGTTATCCATTCTAATGACTACGATATATTCTTATTTCTTTCGCTGAGAACTATTCTCACTTGAACACATCCCTATACATTATATATATAATGTATAGGGGTATATATATATATATATATATAAGTAATTACCAACTAGAACAAAATAGATCTTCGACGATCATGTAACGGGAACTTTTAAAAGTTTCAAATGAATCAATTGGATATTGTTATGTGATTATTGCACTTACATTGTTGAAGTATAGTGGGAACTTTTAAAAGCTTCAAATGAATCAATTGGATATTGTTATGTGATTATTCAACTTACATTGTTGAAGTATAGCTTTTCGGCCGAGTACGGATAAATCTCAACCTCGAATTGCATGAGGATGGTTGTTCAAAATTGGATCAAGTAAAGGTTGATTCATAAAATAGGAAAATAAAATTCTAAACACTCAAGTCGCAAGTTGTGTTGGTTATTTTAAGCTAATATGAATTCAATTGAAAGCTTGAATAAAAAATGTGTAACCTAAATTAAACACAAGAGAATCATAAAACCACAATAAAAAGGAAAATAAAAAAAAAATGACTAAGCACCCAAAGTCGCGAGATAAAATCAAAAGGCTTCACCAAATGTGGATCTCAGATCAATTACATTGTTCCTAGAGCTGGCTTGCAAACGTGAAATCAAATAATCTTCACTCCTCAATGACCTAATAGGGCTATCGTGCTACCCTAACTCGTGCTAGGAGCATGCAATCAAAAGAATCAATCAACTTTAGCAACTCAATTGACAACAAAATCACATGTTATGTACTCCAAGAATGATAACCTACTTTACTCATGAAAGTTATCGGCTTTACTTAAGAAAAATATCCCAAAAATATGACTAAGCAAATACAAGATAACTTACAAGATCTTTAGTCCTAAATTAGATCCCTCAAATTACTAGTAGCATCCACAATGAGAAATAAGTTGAAAAGTTGTAAACTTAACAGTGAAATAAAACGATAAAAAATGGGTCTTGGAACCCTTAAGTCCCTCAAGAGGGAAAAGTACAAAGCAAGA